TGCTGTGCAAGTGCTGTGCGAACTGGGTGGGCGGTGAGGAACACAGCGGAATCCCCTAACCACTTGGCAAGCTGACCACCAACAGGTGTGTATCTGTTCAAAAGGAACGTCACGTAAGTCAGTAGGTATGACTCGAGCATAACGGGTATTATGGACGAGTATTGGCTGAATGGCCCATAGCGTTTGGAAGGGCATGTTCCTTCGGGGAGAAGCGTGTGCACACATGTCTGCACCTGTGTGTCATGTGTATTGTGTGTGTGTGTGCGTGCGCATTACGCGAGTGCATTTCCCGTCCTGGTCGCCCCCAACTGCGCCTCGTGCAGGACTTCACCCGCTACTTCGCCAAGCGCACCACCACTCCGGAGCTGCGTGCGGGTCTCAAAAGCCTCACTGTGTCACTGTGCAAGTCCTCGAAGAACGAGGCGGGACAGCTGCTTGTGTCGCTTAAGAAGTGAATGTCATGAGCGGGAAGCTAGTACACGGAAGCTGGTACCGCCGGCCATGTGCTTGCGTAAGCTAGCTTTTTGTCTAGCTTCTGAGTTTTTCTATGATATTGTTGATATAAGCTGAGCTGAGGACACAAGGCGCGACCGCAGTTGTCAGTGTCATCCAAGTGCCACCCAAGGGCCCAGGTGCAAAGCCTAGAAGGGAACTCAGGGCTTAACATGGAATGTTTTCATCAACTTAAATGAAGAAACTCATGGCGCATCGTTCAAACTGAGTCAAGTCTGCTTGCATCACCCAAAGTACCTCGCACCCTAGTGGGCTGCGCGAGCCTACAGTGGCCCTAGATCGTCAACCGCACCTCGCAAAGAAACCATCACAACTTGGTTGCGACAAAGCCCAGTCGGCAAACAAAAGCAAACCTAACGGGCTCCTGCATACGGGCAAGGGAGCTAAACTCCAAACTAGCAACTCCAAACTAACCACAACGCTACAGGAATACTCCACAATCACACAGTAATCATCAGCATCATCCAGGAACATGGCGGCCTCGGTCAGGCCCTCCGCCACCATGCCCGACGTCGCCGCGCCGATCCCGCCACCGCCGGCTGAGTGCGTGCACACGGCGGCAGCGGGGGCAGGCCCACCGCCCGCCACCCTGCCGCCGACCGACCCGGCCGGCGCTGCGTGCCTGTCACCGTGTCCTCCTCCTCCGTCTCAGGCGCCCGCTTGCGGCCGCCGCCACGCCTGCCATTCAGGCTACCGCACCTCCCAGCCCCACCACCATCGCTGCTGCTGCTGCTGTGTTGCTAGGCCCCGCTGCCGACGCGCCTGCCGTTGAAGCTACCGCACCTCCCAGCCCCACCGCCGTCGCCGTCGCTGCCGCTGCTGATGCGTTGCTAGGCCCCGCCGCCGCTGCGCCTGCCGTTCAGACTACCGCGGCCGCGGGAACTCCATGAACGCCGGCATATCCGGATGCGGCGGGGAGGGATTCTGGCGCGGGCCCTGCGGGACGCGGCGCCATCCGCCAAGAACGACACAAACGGTATTGATGTGACGGGGGAGAAGCCATACGGCGCACATGAGCTTGGGCCCTGTCTCGCCATCAGATAAACTGTCAGTGTCGCTCTCGGTGTCGCTGCCGCTGTCACTTATGGGAATGTCGCCCCAAACGATTTCGCCAAGCCAGGAGTCGTTAGTTTCTATCGAACTAAGTGATTCATTATCATCCTCAGGCATATTTACATTTAGCAGATAGGTGAAGACGCACTAAGGCTCTTATGCGCGTAACCTTTGGGTGGCATTCTCTTTGAGCGGAATAAATGACGCTACACTTAGTAGCTTCCATACATGAAGCCGTGCAGTAGCATCTATACATGAAGTCGTGTGGAAATAGCCACGCAGTGTAGCCTGTTTGTGAGTTTTTCGTCCGATATTCCGGTTTGTCGGTGGAGCCGATGGTCCCTACCGCCGGACTTCCCAGTCGCTTGAAACATTTCCTATCGATACAATCTTCATGAGAACATTAGGCTTGCGGAGGCCTTCGGAACTTGAGATTTCCTGGACCGTGCGGGCGAGTTGACTGAGTCCAAGCGAGCTGGCCATCGTTTATCGGATTTATGTGACTTTACACATATATGTGTAAAGCTTTGTGGCTTGTCTATCCTTTGTGCCTCGTCTGTGGCGCTTGCATTAGCATTTCGCCGGCAACTGTGGTCGCGCCCTTGCGCCTTTGACTGAGCTATCAGCAACGTTACCATAGAACAATTTAACTCCAAGACAGCAGCTAGTTTACGTAGGACATGGCCGGCGGTACCAGCGGTCGCTCCAGGGGCGGGCTCACCACCCCCGAGACAGGTTGCCGACTTTCAGTGTAGCGCCATTTTGCCGATTGGGATACTAAACTGCACAAGCATATCCGCATCACTACCTCCATAGTAATTTACACATGAACAGAAGCCAGATGGACAAACGAGCAATAGTCTCTTACAGGATGTTTCCACTTGGCCGAACACTTACACTATGTTCGGAAGTTCTTCGTCCCGGACTTGTCTCTAACCGTTCTAAATGCATATTTGGAAGGCCAAGTGGAAACACCCTGTTAGAGGAACCTCCCAGGAGGCCAGATTACGCAGTTTTTCCTGGCGAGAGAGTAACAGAGCAGCAACTTGTAGCCTGCGCGAAGCTGTTCTCCGAGCACTATGGTGTTTGGGGAAGTGGCGGCCCGCAGCCCGGTTCCCGGGTCCGCTTATCGTCAAAGAAGTTGCGAGAGCAGTGCTTGTTTAACCCAGAAACATGCAGCTTGGTTATGGCACAAATTGGGGATGAGCTGGTTGGCCACGCCTTCGTGACGACATTCAAATACGGTGATTATGGGACCGTGAGCTGGATTACGCAGCTGGTGGTGAGCTTGAAATACCGACGCCACGGGATCGCTGGCCGGCTCTGCCGATTGGCGTGGGCGACTAGCAAGGAGGACTTTGCCTGCGGGCTTGTCACTTCACATCCACACGCGGTGCGCGCCCTTGAGCGCGCAACTGGTCGGTTCTGCGACATGGATGGTGTGAAGGAGCACGCGGCAGGACTCCTCACGGCCAGCTGCATTCCGTATGTACAGGGCTGTACTGTTGATGACTGCAAGATCGACACGCAATTTTATGTCGACCACACCGAGATCAACGAGCTCATTCGCGAGCAAAAAAATTGGACACTGGGAGAGCTTCCAGACGGCAAGGAGTTCTTCGCCTTCACGTTCCGAACATCGCGGCTGCGTTGAGTGAGGAGCCGGGACTCCCCAGAGGGCAGTCCTGTGAAGCTCAGGAAGGTGGCGTCGAGCTAAGCCAGGGGAAAATTCCTCCTGCTCACCCCCTCTCCCTCCTGGCCGGCTCTGGTGAGGTGAACAATGTCGTGCATGACAACGACTGCGCAGTAGAAGGATTAGGAGGGTTAGAGATTAGGGTTAGAGAGGTGTGTTGCTGTACACCAATTGGTGCCTGTGAGATATGCATGGGGATGCGCAAAAAGGGAGGCTGCGCGGGGTTATGTGGTCCGTCCTTCGTCGGGATTAACATTATGCGACCTACGTTGGCCGGCAACAGGCATGGAACGGTGGAGTGGATGAAGCTGGAGTGATTGGATGTGAATGCCGGCGGTTATAGATAACCGAGCCTTTTCACTTTCTCGGCGCTCGTCTCAAGAATGACATCATGGCATAAGCTTAAGAGCATTTAAGTGTCAACAACATTGCTACGCCCCCCCAGGCCTAATCCCACACCAAATCGGGGTGCCACGACAAATCACGGCCAAATCACGGCCAAACGGACGGGCCAAAACATATCCAGCACGACATACGGCGGCAAGCCAATGACCCCGTTCTCCAACTCATGTTTTTCACATTGCAGCTCTTCATCAGTCCGGTAGTACTAACCCACTAGGAGTTAATGCGGAAAGCAGCATTTGTATTCACCCGCTCACCTAAACACTCTCCTAATCTTCTACCGCCTCTTCCTGCCCTCCTCCGCTGCAGCCCCGGCCGCTGCTGCCTCCTCCTGCTCCCCCAGCCGCCTCAGCGCCTCCTCCTCCCTCGCAGCCCTCAGTACCCCCATCAACCTCTGCAACCCTTCCCCGCCCACCAGCACCGAATCCAGGTCATGAAGGGTCAAATGGATGCGGTGGTCCGTGACGCGGCCCTGGGAGTTTAGGGGGGGAAATGATTCAGGGGGGTCCAGAATGGCGGGAAATGGGGGCATCCGCCTGTCTTGGTGAAACAAAAAACGTTCAAGGTTGTGCTCGTTCAGTTCAAAAACTCTATTCAGAACACAAGCATAATTGTGGGAAGTTGCCGTACACTTCATCACTGTACCTGCGGGAAATTGTACGTTCGGATGCGCTCGCTGCGATCAGCGGACGCCACTAGTGCCGACCGCTGCTCGTCCATCTCTTTCGCGCGCTTCTGCATCTCCAGGTCGTATAGCCGCGCACGCAGTATCTGTACGGCACGCACGAAAGGGTACAACGTCAGGTACATCCCAGCATGGTCCCCCAGCAGCGGCGCAAATCGGAATTTGGCATGCACCCCTTTCTAAATGCTGGCTACCGTGTGGCTACCGTGTGGCTACCTGCCGCACACAGCCCCTCACGTCTGTACCCAAGCCCGACCAGTCCGCTGCCCCAGCCCCGTCATTTCCTCCCAACCTTTCCCCCCGGGCTATCTCCATCACCCCGCTCTGCTCCCCCACCTTGAGCGCCGCCGCCCTGTTCAAATGCTGCGAGCGCTCGTTCTGGCAGCTGACTACTAGACCAGTCGGCACGTGGGTGATGCGTACAGCGCTGTCGGTGACGTTGACGTGCTGTCCTCCCGCCCCACTGGCCCGCATGGTCTCTATTCGGAGGTCCTCATCGCGCAGCTTGACATCCACCTGCGCGTGCAGGTTGCAGGCGGAGTGGAAGTGCCTGTTGGGGGGGAGAGTACTGCCAAGGCATCGCACGCTCACACGCAACCTCAATCGCAACCAGGCAGCTGCCTCTGGTACGATGCTGTACGTACATTGGAAGGCCGTACACAATCTGTAGGGACAGCACCCAAACCTCGCCCCAACTATGTTGCCATTACATTACACTACCCAGGCTGAGCGCTTCACCGATTGTACTCGCACCTCGTCAGCTTGTGGGAGAACCACAACGGCTACTGTGCTGGTGTGCACACGGCCCTGCGCCTCCGTCACCGGCACACGCTGCACCCGGTGCACCCCGCTCTCCGGCAGCAGGGTGCCATACACGCCGATGGCGTCTCCATCTTGGTCACTGTTGCCCTCGCCGCCGTCGTACCCTTCCCCTCCGTCGCCAATCCCCCCTGCTCTCCTCCCTGCTCCTCTACCAGCCGCCACCGCCGCCACCACGTGCTTCACTCCCCCAGGTACCTCACTCGCCGTCAGCTCCACCACCTGCCAGGACCACCCGCGGGACTGCGGCCGGAAGGACAGACAGACAGACAGGCAGACGGAAGGAGGGATGGAAGGACAGACAGGCAGACGGAAGGAGGGATGGAAGGACAGACAGACGCATGAGCACATTGGCACCAGGGCGCAAAACCCCATTCCATGCCGCCGCCGCCCATCTGAACAACTGCACATGGCGTCGTCACCCTACCATGGAGAGCTGAGAGCGATACCACGGACTCCACTTCCCCGGACACACCGGCAGGGTATCGCCCCGCAGATCTATCTTCTCCTGGCCCCTCAATCTCTGGCTTCCGGCACAGCCTTGCCAAGCCACCACGCATACACACAAACACACACACATGACGACGAACGTGATCACCGGGTCCGACGGCGACACCCCTTCGTTTGTGGCCTCCGGTGACACCCCTTCGTTTGTGGCCTCAATCGACAAACACTTCACGCGCATCAACCCCCAGCGCCGTACCTACACGTACCATTGCGAACTTGCGGTACATTTCCAGCAGCTCCCCACAAAACAGCGCCGCCTCCTGGCCACCCGCGCCCGCGCGCATTTCCAGCAGTGCAGCTCGACCGTCCCGTGGGTCACGAGGCACCAGAGCCAGCAGCAACCGCCGAGTCAACCCGGCAGCCTGCAGGAGTTGGCCTCCAAGGGTTAATTCCAGGCGGGCTTCCAGTTGACGGGGTGGCGCGTGAGGTAAAGAAAGGAGGGACACGGGACCACCACTTGCACGGGATGACACGGAGACAGTGGCCCATAGGAAGGGGTGTGGCGGGGGGCAAGTTCCTCCGGCCATCAGACCGGGGCCACTGGCCATCTGGCGAGGCCGTGCGTGTGTGTGTATGTGTGTGTATGTGTGTGTGTGTGTGCGTGCGTGTATGATGGCGCCAGATTCCAACAAGCTTTTTGCATCTGCTAGAAAGACGGGAAGACAGGTCGGCAGGCGGGCGGACGTGCAGCAAACGAACCAGTCGCACACTTCTTCTGGCTGGCGGTCTGCACGGCTGAACCCGCCCGGACATGCATTGGGCCCCCCCCTCACATCGCATCACGTCGTACCTGCTGCTGCAGCTCCCGGCCCTCCTCCTCCGCCATCGCTCGTACCCGGGAGTCCGGATCTTTCAGAAGCGCTGCGAGGTCCTCCAACTGAAGCAACGAGCTGGCCATACCACGAATCATCACTACCTATAGAGCTAAGTGATTCGGTGTCAGACATTTTGTTTATTTACGCTTATAGTTATGTTTTATGTAACCCTTTAAGTCTATTTCTGTGCCTGAGCCTGTGTCCCAGGACGGGTGTCCTTTAATGGCACCGGCAACTGTGGTGGCGCCTTTCAAGTTCAGTTCAGTTATCTTGAATATAACAAATAAAACATCACAGTACTAGAGAAGCAGTATCTTTGAGGAAGTACATGAAAGCGGTACCAACTAACTCCAGGGTGGGGCTGACTTCGAGTCAGGGCCCCCAGGACTGCGTGCCGGCTTACAGGTTACATGAGCGAAATATCAATGTCATTAAATTTAGGGTGTTAGCATAGAAGATTAAGTTCACGGCATTTCCAAGGAAAACTGAAGGTTTCCTACTGAGGACCATGATTGGTTCTGCAGGGCTCCTTCATAGCTTGGGCGCGGCTCTTACCAGTGTAGTGGCTTTGGGGCGCTGCTCGACAGGTTGGTACATGATTTGCGTCGATGTGGGTTTTCTTAGCCGACGTCAGCTGTTCTTACTTTGCTCCGGAAACTAATGCCTGCAGTGACTGCAAATCTTCAAGGGCAAGGGTTGCGCTGCTTAGCAGTTGCAGCAGCTGCGGGGGGAGCTGAGCTTACGGGGCCGGATTGGCAGGAGCGTTCGACGTCAGCTGACGCAGAGAGCACCCGCGGGAGAGGTAGCGCTGAGCGGGCCATCGACGCCGCCAGTACCAGCGGGAACAGAGGGGCCGGCAGCAGTGACGGGGTATTTAACGTCGATTATCGGCGTGTCGTCTCGGAGAGGCGCGCGGCAGCGCAGGGCTCCCTGGAGGGCATCATACACATCCAGAACACCTTTAACAACATCATTCTGACCCTTACAGATCAACAGGGCTTCATCAAAACGTATACTTCAGCGGGTATCGTGGGTTTCCGGGGCGCCCGCAGGTCACAGCCCGTCGCAGCCGAACGAGCCGCGGAGGAGCTAGCGCGTCGGGCGCTCAAATTAGGCTATTCGACAGTTTCCATACGACTTAAAGGTCCCGGCAACACCAAGCAATACGCAGTGCAGTCTCTCGCGGCCGCTGGTCTCCAGATTATAAGCCTGGCGGACGTGACGCCGATTCCGTACAATGGCTGCCGCTTGCCCAAAAGGCGCCGGGTGTGAAAAGGTTTGGGTGCTCTGCGGCTGCTCCATTGCATGCAGGCAGGTTGAGGTTCTCCCTTCACTGACCCAGGTCAGGTGGCGGCGATTGACCGTACTGCAATGGCGATTGACCGTGCTAGCTAGGACAGGGTATGCATGTTGACAATGGTGCAAGTGTCAGCTATGTTCCTATGGTTTGGGGGCTGATGGATTTTTCAGGATGACCATTGCTTATCCTGGCGTGTCCTGGCGTGTAGTGTTCATACCCTTTGGGGCGAGGGTCGCTAGAAGAGGGGCTTTGGGAAATCGTTTCTGTGGCTGTGTGTGCTGTCGTTGGCCAGCGGCTTGCTGTTGCAGGAAGCGCACGTGATGCAGCTTCCAGCCTTGGGCACAGTGTATTGTGACGTGTACGGCGTACTAAACGGAAGGGTTGGAACTTGCCGCGTCGCGACGGAGTTAATGCATATGATTGCTTCTCATGGAAACAGTTTTACGTTGGAACCTTTAAGGTTATTGCAGGTTGATTGCGGTAGACTTGTCTGAGCTTTCGGCGCGCTGAAACGACTGTAACAAGGATAGAGAAAGACCTCCATTTCTGAATTGTCAACGCTTAAGGGTTTTCTATGATATAGTGCTTAGGCTGATGAATCAACCGCAGGAGCTTGGCTTGCGTGCTCAGGTAGTTTCACCGACCGCCGATATCTAGAATTGCAGCACGTAGATTCATTAATTTAATGCATCTAAAATAATGGATATTGTTGGCAGGTGCTGGACGTGGTTCCCCCAGGCCCCATACACAGAAATCGACGCAATGCAGTGGCCAAGTTCTCGCATGTAAGCAATCACACTTCTCGGTACCAGCATCTTGGCAAATCGTCCCTGATTTATAATCCAACGGCAGCATAAGCCGTGTCCGGTCTACGGATTGGTCGTCCCGGACATCGGTACTGACTTCAACAGCTAAGAATCCCGGATTATGCGGGATGAGGGTAGCATTGCATAAGTTTGCGGTGTTCCACACCGAGGTTCAGCAGCGTGGCTAGCATCAGAACCCCTGCACGAGCTGATACAAGAGCACCTTGGGGAAGTGATGGGCGAAGGAATGACCGACTCGTCGGCTCCTAACCACTCGCGCCCACGCCGCTGCCCTCATGCAATGCAACCCCTCCCCCTGCTGGTACCCGGCCCCTGTTTCCCACCAATGACAGCGCATACCCAACTTCCGGGACCCGTCCTGCACCTTCTCCCTGGTGCCTGATCTACGGGCAAGCGTTGTTTCGGAGCAGGCGACTCGAAAAAAGGATGAGATGGTCAGCCGGATGAGACAGCAGCAGCAAGAGCAACGGGGACCGGAGTGAGTGTGAGCTGCCTACATAGCAGTGTGACTCTGGGCCATCACGGGGCTCGGCGCGGATAGTGCCAACTTGCTCGTGGGAGGCTGGATTCTGTAGCGGGCTTGCGCAGGTCGTCCCCGCGGCAC